TGAACATTTTAACGATATATAACTCCTTATAAAACTTGTAAAAAATTAAAAAAAATTGTTTTGTCCCAAACATGACTAGATCGATTCGGCTTTTCATGCTGATCAAGAATATATATGATTTATAGGCTCGGAAATGACTCCTTCGCTTAGTTTTAAGCTTCTGATCTCTGAATAATAAGTGTTTAATACATTTAACTATTATACTATTTATTAAGTTATTATTTAATGATTATGATTTAAATATTTTCCATCGATTTTTTTCCCCAAGTGTCCCCAGTGGGAGAAGGCAATATGCAAAAGGAGTTCACTCACAAAGCGGGAGCGGGGGCAACTTTCGTTTTCATTCAGATGTCTGCAAATTAATTTGCTCTTTTTACTTGATTTTTATTTAGTTTTTTGCCTGGTTTTTCTTAGTTATTTTTTTTGTGGACGGTCATTGCTTTTGCAGTATAAATATTTATGCGTTGCACTTGAGAGCGCTGGAATTGGAATTGGAATCGGAATCGGACTTAACGCTGGAGATGGCTCAGATTTATGGCCGTCTTCCGCGACCCGAGGCTACAAGTCCAGAAAAAAAAAGAAAGAAGAAATATCAGTAACAAAACAAGAAAACAAAAATAAATAAAATTAGTAATTAGCCGCCTTGATTTGTTGTGCATTTTGTTAACAAATTAAATGCATTATTCAATGCGATTATTTATTATCCCCGAAGTCTACGCACCGTTAAGCTGATTTAATGTGTACTTAATTGCAATCATCATCAGCTGGGCAATGCAATTGTAATCGTAATTCGTAGTTTCAATTGAAATTGAGACTGGAAAAGCGTAATTAATTTGCTCAAAGGGAAATTATCGGAATTATGGCATTGGCATTAGTATTACTTAGCATTTAAAGCTCACCAAACCGCATCGGATTAGTTAGATACCGCGGAGAGAAAATGAGGAACTTCCATTTACAAAAAATAATACTTCCTTAATTGATTTGTAGATATAATGATAAAAATTTTAAATGTTTTTTTAGAGATTAAGGGGGAATTAGATATGTAAACCTTTAGGATGTGGGCTAATTCTTAATTAAATTTAAATAAGTAGAAATGATTATGTCTATATTTTTATTCCTTTAAAAATTATTCAATACATTTTTAAAAGCATATTTAATGTTTTTCTTCAACCTATTTGAAAACCTTATTTATTTAGCTATGTAAAGTAAATAAACTTCCTTATCATGCATATTTATTTTAAATATTTAGCTAAGCTCATTTCTTTAATTTATTTTTAGATCAGAGACTCTTGTAATATTAAGTTGACTTCATTTTGATGTACTCAAACCCATCTGCGTTTCTTAAAATACTTAATTTTAATAATATAATAATAATTCTCCTACCTTTAGCACCTTTAATTTTATATTTCAGCTTTTCAAATATTTTACAAATTAGTTTTAAGCTTTTTTAAAACTTTAAAACGGCTTTTGGCCAAACCTGAATCCAAATTTGGCCGCATAAAGCTTTCAGTTTAACTCAAACTCTTTCCTAACTAATTTTCTTTTTTCTTTCTTTTCTTGCAGGTAAGCTTGGCTTTAGCTTTTTATAATGAATCCAAAACCTTTGGAAAAATCAAACTGTAAGCGTGGCTCAAACTATTAAGCTTCAAACTGTAAGCTAAACATATTTATTATTCAAGCTTTAAACCGTTTTTTAAATGTGTACAAAAGTCTATTTGAATTTGTAAAATTTGAAATGATTTTGGGAAAAATATTATAATATAACAAGAAGGGAAGCTTACATCGGCACGCCAATGTTTGTCTAACCTTGAAGAATGAAATTCGATCACTAGGAATTAATTCAATATAAATTATATATATTTTTGTTAAAAAACAATAAATTAATGCCTGCTATTATTTCATTAACCGTATTGTCATTCTTTTCCTCTATTTTTACAATCGTTTGTATAGCAGCTATATGATATAGTAGTCCGGTTTCCATAATATTTTACACAAAATTCTAGATTAGTATATAATGCCTATATATCAAATTTGATAAAAATCTGTTGAAGACTGGAAAAGCTACACTCTTTTTATCTTAAAATTTTCCGAGCGTTCCTATGGCAGCTATATATATGTATATATATAGTCCAGCGATTCCGCATGCTTCGATTTATATATTAGTAAAATTATATACATGAATAAATCCATAGTTTCATTCAAATGCTCTTAAATTTGTTCCAAAACAAATCTCGCACATCTGCACATATGATTCTCAACTGGTTCTAGCATCCCCGGAATGAAGCGGCTTCTACCGGCCACGTCTCAGATATGTGTTGTGTTACAAAAGTTGCAAGTCATTGTTTATTAGTGTTTAAAGTTAGTAACTGATCATACATACATGCTTACTGGTCATAGATACTTAAGGCTCAGAGTTACTTACTGATCATAGCTAATTGCTGATCATAGTTACTTACTGGTCATAGTTAATTGCTGTTCAGAGTTAATTACTCATTATAGTTACTTAATGTTCAGAGTTAATTACTGGTCACACTTCTATAAGTCGTCCGATTGTTCCTATGTCAGCTATATATATGTATATACATATATAGTCCACCGATTCTTCATGGTCCGATTTATATGCTGGTAAAATAATCTAAAAGAATAACTCCATAGTTTCATTCAAATGCTCTTCAATTTGTTCCAAAACAAATCTCGCACATCTGCACATATGATTCTCAACTGGTTCTAGCATCCCCGGAATGAAGCGGCTTCTACCGGCCACGTCTCAGATATGTGTTGTGTTACAAAAGTTGCAAGTCATTGTTTATTAGTGTTTAAAGTTAGTAACTGATCATACATACATGCTTACTGGTCATAGATATTTACTGCTGAGAGTTACTTACTGATCATAGTTAATTGCTGATCATAGTTACTTACTGGTCATAGTTAATTGCTGTTCAGAGTTAATTACTCATTATAGTTACTTAATGTTCAGAGTTAATTACTGGTCACACTTCTATAAGTCGTCCGATTGTTCCTATGTCAGCTATATATATGTATATACATATATAGTCCACCGATTCTTCATGGTCCGATTTATATACTAGTAAAATTATATAAAAGAATATCTCCATAGTTTCATTCAAATGCTCTTAAATTTGTTCCAAAACAAATCTCACACGTCTGAGCATATGATTCCCAAGTGGTTCTAACATCCCCGGAACGAAGTGCCTGCTTCCGGCCTCGTCTCAAATATGTGTTGTGTTACAAAAGTTGCAAGTCATTGTTTACTAGTGTTCAAAGTTAGTAACTGATCATACATACATACTTACTGGTCATAGATACTTAATGCTCAGAGTTACTTACTGTACATAGATACTTACTGATCAGAGATAATTACTGGTCATAGATACTTACTGTTCAGAGTTACTTACTGTTTAGAGATACTTACTGCTAATAGTAAATTGCTAGTCATAGATAATTACTGTTCAGAGTAACTTAATGTTCATATAAACATACTGATCATAATTAATTACCGGTCATACTTCTATAACTTATATTAGACAAGATAATTACTGATCATAATTTATTACCGGTCATACTTCTATAACTTATATTAGACAAGATAATTACTGATCATTACATAGTTAATTTTAATTTTCATTGATACTTACTGAGCAGAGTTAACTACTGATCATAGGATTCTACTGATACAAGTTGATGCTGACCAAAGGTATAAATATTCAAGAAAGTAAAGAAAATTAGCTTGATATAAATGTCTTTCTTACCTGGGATTGAATAATTTCATTAACTTAATTAAATAAATGCTAATGGTACTTTCTTTTAAATTTATTTATTCGATTTATTCAGTTTCGTTTACATTTTTCTTTTAATAACTAATTAAACATTTACATTTACATTCGCAATCCTCGACTTAGAAACTAATTGAGGTACTCCCAGTGTACGCGGCATCAAACAAACTATAAAAGTTAACACGAAAAAATACACATTTAGATTAGATACACATTAAACAAACTAAACAAAAAAAAAAGAAAAAAAGAAATACATATGAATTAGCATAAATGACTCGATATTTACATGAAGCGCTTAATTGACTAATTTCATGGGCGGAGTGTCAGCAGGGGCAATTGTTGGGGATCAGAGTGGAGTCTTCTTTTATTTTTTAGTATATATTTATTTTATATTTTCTAGAGTCTTAAGCGCGAAAGAGAAAGGGTAAGCTTAAGGGAGAGCTTAATAAATTAAATTTGTTTAATAAAAGAAGCCATTATCAGCTGACAAGGATTAAGGGACAAGAAATCGATTAGATATAATGCAAACAAGGACTAGATGATAGGATTTCAAGAAATCGATCAATTATAATCGATAAATTAAATTAATTTCGTCAAGTTTTATTCATTTTTATGCCGATATATCGTATAAATCGTTGTTATAAATAGAATTTTAATGCTTTAGGTGCCAAGTTCATTCTCAGTACCAAGAAAGAAAGAATAATAATAGAAAATTATTGATATGTTATATCGGAATAAAATGTAAATCTAAATCTATATAATTTTGATATAGAAAAATTGATACATTTTTAATATAAATATCTAAAAATAGTGATTTTCAAGTTAAAATTTAACGTTATCGAAATTATAAATACCTAAAAGTATAGCTTTTCAAGTTAATATTTAAATGTTACCGAAAAGAGTTTAGAATATGAAAAAAGCACAAGCTGCTTAGGAAACGGTTATTGTTTCGATATTTCAGACAAAATATCGATTTATTTTCTCTAGTTGAAATATCTAAAGTTATAGAAACTTTAAGATATATTATTACTTGCTGCCTTCCCTTAAAACCAAGTCAAAACTGTAGTTTGGCGAAAGCTTTTGTTAAAATAGTCTGCGTCCCATTAAACCCGCTTAAAACCCCCTGTGCCCCTGCTAATTGACCCCTTGTCTTTGACCCCTTTTTGACCTAACCCCCCCGCACTGACCCAACCCCCCGTGCTAGTTTTAAAACCCGCTATGACCTTGGCAAAGGCCACTGATGCACAAGGGGTACTTCAGCCTCACTGGAGTTCAAAGAACGCTTACTACGCCATTGGGTTCGCGGTGGTGCCTGACCTTGATCCAAATCCAAGCCCAAACCCAGGCCCTGACCTTGACCAAAGGCCCCCACCGTTGTGGGTGTTAACCACAATTGTTTTATAAGATCGGCACCCTTCTCAGCGATCATTACCACTGGGGCATGGATATTGCCATTGGTTATGGTCGGCATTATGCTGGCATCGATTACTCGCAATCCTGGAATGCCATAGACCCGTAATTGTGGATCGACCACAGCCCAAGGATCAGTGGGTGGACCCATTTTCGCAGAGCCACTCATATGATAAATGGTCATCGTATACTGTCGAATGAAGCAGTTCCAATAATCATCCGTAAATAGGGTTAAATGCCGGCAATTGGGCAAAGGTTTACTCCAGAATCTTGCACCAAATCTCTTCATGGCCTGCGTTTCACCCATGGCCACTGCGGCCTTGACTCCCTCCCTTAATACATTCACATCATCCGGATGTGTGAGATAATTGTGATAGAGCAAAGGATATCGCAGAGGATTCTTTGAAGCCAGTTTAATGTAACCCCGGCTCTTGGGACGCAGCATCATGGGAAATACGCCAAAGACATCACGATTATTGACCTCCCCAAAGACCTCTTGATAGAACTCATCGGTTAAACCATGGGCAGTCTTCACCTGTGATCCACCATCGGACATTACCGATGCCGAGGTCATCATAAAATTCATATCAGGCCAATCATCACTTGCATTGGCATATTTTGTATTAATAAAAGCCACCGCCTCGAGGCCAATGCTGGAGGTCAAAGGGCCATCCTCTGTGATGGCATACCGCAAAGCGGTATTAATATTCACCATTCGCTTCATTACAATCGAAATGGGATAATCGATGAGAAAGGCTATCCCACCGACAGCTATGTGATCCTGTAGATTCTGTCCCACGCCGGGTAAATGTTGCACCAGGGGTATACCAACTCTGGCCAACTCTTCGCCATGTCCAATCCCCGAGAGCATCATCAAGTGTGGTGTACCAATGGCACCTGCTGAAAGGATCACCTCCCTGGTGGCATAAGCATTCTGTAAATGTCCATCGCGAATAAATTGCACTCCTGTGGCACGTTTCGTCTTGGGATCTGTGAGCACTTTGGTCACATGTGAGAATAAGGCCACATGAAGATTGGGTCTTAACCTGGCCGGTCTTAAGAAGGACTTGGCCGTGGAGCTACGGGAACCGCGTCGCATATTGAATTGATAGAAACCAAAGCCAGTTTGTTGTTCTCCATTCACATCGATAATATCGTAGCCCATTTCCTCACCAGCCTGCAGGAAGGCAGGACCAATGGGTGTATTATAAGGTGCATCCTGTACTGTCCAAAGGCCACCTACGAATAAAAATAAATAACAGATTTATAAGAAATATATTTATATATAAAGATCCCCGACTTTGCTTCCACTCACCTGTTCCATGATAGCGCTTGTTCTTTGCCAAATACGGATTCCTTTGATCCTCAGATTTACGGAAATATGGTAGAATTTCCTCGAAAGACCATCCTGGATTCCCAAACTCTGCCCACTGATCAAAGTCTCGCTTATTGCCACGAATATATAACATTGTGTTTAGCACCGAACTTCCTCCTAAAACTTTGCCACGAGTCCAGCAGCAGCGTTTATCCTTCATCGCCTGACAGGCTGTGTGTTGTGGTTGGGTTCTGGAAATATCAATTAGAAATATTAGTATTATAATAATAATTTATACCCTTTCAAGGTATTATAATTCCAGTCAAAAGCTTAAAACTAGGTGAAGGGGTCATTTCCGACCTTAAAAATCATATATATTCTTGATCAGCATCAACAGGCGAATATTTCTAGCTGTATTAGAAAGTATTTTATATTTTTTAAATTTTTTCAACATTTTTTTAAGGGGATTCATCGTTAAAAATTGACCAAAAATGTTAAATTTTTTACGTTTTAAACTGAGTATGCAGATTTATTAATCTAATAAAAACTAACATAGGACCGCTTTCCGAATTGAAATTAATGAATTTTTGGCTAAGTTATGAGATTTTTAAACTTCTGTTAAACAAAAAATTGACACATAAAATATAATTAAATATTCGCTCAGAAAATGGTATTATAATTTTAATCGGAAGCTAAAAACTTAGTGAAGGAATCATTTCCGACCCTAAAAATTATATATATTCTTGATCAGCATCAACAGGCGAATCTATCTAGCTATCATAGACAGGATTTTTTTTTTTTTAATTTTTGCACAATTTTTAAGAGGTTAAAATTAAAAAAAAAAACCAACAAAGAATTTAATTTTTTTTCATTTTAAATTGAGTATGCAGTTTTTATAACCTAATAAAAACTAACATAGGGCCGCTTTCCGATTTAAAATTAATGCTTTTTTGGCTTAGTTCTGAGTATTTTAAGATTTGATTTGTCGAAAAAAATGTCAAATGAAAATATCGATTAAAAGAATTCGAATATTTTAATCCGAGTTATGATCAATTTCCGTTTCAATCTTATAATTCAATTCCAAAATATCTATCTATATAACTCATAAATATATCGCTCAATATCCTTTTAAAAATATTGTACAAATTAATATATATAAAGAGATTTAAATACTGAATATTGCATTAATATAAAATAATTTAGTATTTAATATTTTATAAAATGCAATACGTTTATAAATCATATGAATAATAATAATACTACTAAACTTTTATTAAAATAAATCGAAACTGAAATGTTAAAAAAAAAAAAAAAACTATACCTATTAGAGTTGTATATAAAGTTATATATAAAGTAAAGAAAAAACTGAGTAAAATCAATTAGCGAATCTTGGCTTGTCTTCGTAATTCACCGCAAAAAACGGGCTGCAAAAGAGATATCCAATAATTTTGCGGGCAAGTAAACAAAGCGACAATGAAAGCGCATTAGTAAAAAATATATATATAAAATATAAATAAAAAACAACAAATGCCACGCCCACACCTCGCAAAAAGGCCAAATTGCCCAGTGGCCAAGTGAATTACAACACAGACAGAGACAGAGAGCCAGAGCCGGTGTTAAGCGCTCATTAGGCCAAGCTCAGGAAAATAAAAAACAGAAAAATACAAAATAAAAATAAAAATAAAATTCATGAGGCAATGAACCACACGACCGCACTTGGGGTGCCCTTTAAACGCTTGTCCCTCGGCAACCGCCAGATACTTGTATCTGTATCTGTATCTGTATCTTCAAGTGGCATTTTAAGTGAAGTTTACCCAGAAAAAGGTGCCTAAATCCAACAGGAAATCAAACCGAATATAATTCTCTGGAACTAATAATTGCTAGCGGGAAATGGAAACCTCAAAGGCGGAGAGTAAACTCAATTAAGACAGCAATTTTCCCGCTGCTCTAGGAAAATTAATGTTTATCACAGCCCAGTAGCTACGCATTTGTTGAGATAATAATCAAAGATAATAATCTCCTAAATTCCATCAACAAAAATTCCCAGCGTTATTCCGTGAGTGCAGTCAATATAAACCACCGACAAATTGTTTAAACAAATCGTTTTTGACAACTCTCTCTACAAGTTCATTTTTTGAGTTGAATCCGATACCAATTCAGTTTTCTTTTGGGTGCACAAAACATATAGGAAGAGTTTTTGCTGTGTTTTTCGTCGTTAATTAAAACACAAATTACCAGTGACAGGCAACAATCAAGAGACAAGAGACTAGAGACTAGAGAGACTAAAACACAATGAAAACAAAACGGAAATCAAATGTCAGTTGCGGAAAAACTTGGTCAGCAAATGATTTTTTACTTTTGGTGGCGGGGGAAAAGCGTGCCAGAGCCAAGGGAGAGGAAAACCCTAAACTTTGGGTTGTAAAATTCAAATAAAATTTAAAATACTCTATAATATATTCATATATAACTTATTTAGGAACTACAAACTAGGTTTGTACAGCCAGAAAAGAGTTTCATAAGGTATATAAATAAATACTTTGCACTAAATATAATATGGAAAATATTGTAAGCGTTTCGCTAAATATAATATTAATACAATTGCAAACTTCTGTATATCAATCTCTATAAAATTTCGTATATATAATAACTTCTATATAGCTCATTTTACAAAATGCTAAAATAATCGTAATGAAAAATATCGTAGGAGTGTTATTTAAGATATTTCTGTTTGTCATCAATTGTACTTAATATTTATTTAAAACAAAATTTCTTATGACATTTTAAGAACAGAATTTATTAGAGAATATCGAGAAGAAAAGTTCAAGTTTTACTTTAAAATATCATATCCATATTATAGCTAAATAATATATATTAAAAGCAGTAAACTTTAATTTTATTAATGATTAATATAATGTAAATAACATTTGGCTGATACATCTAGATAATAACATTTTATATGAATGTATAGTATATTTAAAATTTTGATAAACATGTGAAGTATTTTTCTTATCTACAAAATTTCAGTAACATGTTATTTATCTGTGTTTTTTCCGGTAATATTGGTTTAAAATATCAAACCAACTATCGATTTGCAACACATCTGTATATCGCATCGATAAATCATCGATATATATATCGAATTTCGGGTTAGCTATTGATATTGATATTGTATTAATATAAAGATATTTTCTTCTATTAGGAATTAAAATTTTTCTTATTAATATATTGTACATATATTTAAATATTTATATTATATTTTTATTTCCTAAACCAAGCCAAATACTGGCATCAAACTTGAGGTACTTTCATCTAGCTTATATACCCCAACTTTGGGACCAACTGACTCCTCTCTGTAGTCCATCATTTTGCTTGTCTCGGATGCATTTGCATCTTTCTTTCTTTTATCTTTAAAGATATATACCTGGCACCTTTCCTCAGTCTCCATCAAACATTTCGTGGTTTAAGTAAGGTTTAGGGTTAGGGTTAGGGCTAAGGGTTTTCGGGTTAATCGTAATAGTAATTAGCATACGACATTTCTATGATTTATGCTGCTCAGATGGGCATATATATACATATACATATATATATATTATATTATTTTTCTATGACTTTAACACTTTGAACCAAATGACGAGCCATTAATATCAATTCGCGCCACTGTAATCCCAACCACTGTGGCAGATTGTTTGGCATACTAACTTATGGGCTACGTGTGCCGCCCCAGACAGGCCAAAGAAAACTAGTGAACAGAAACAAAAAAAAAAGAAATACATACATAAAAAATCAAATAAAAAACCAACTGAACTGGTGAAGAGAAAAAAAAACTTTCGCCCCAAGACTTGACTCTGAGCGACGCCCAACTGACGCAATTTGTTTGCTTTTTATTAGCCATTTAACAGTTAACTCACATAAACGTAACCAATTATTATTAACTCATTTTGTTTAGTTTATTTGATGCTTAATAGTGTCTTGTGTTTGCAGAAATCTCTTTTCCCTTTTTATGCTTTTCGCAATCAAATGAATTAAAGTTCAAGCGGACATAGAAATTAGAATGCATCCGAAAGCTTTTTAATCAAATAAAAGTAATTACTTAACAAACTGCAATTAAAGTAAGGGAAATAAATTAAAATGTTAGTTTAAAGTTTAGTCAAAGTTTAGCGTATAATTAAAGTTGCAAATAAAAACGATTAAATATAATTCAAAGAAATAACTTGGCTTGGGATCAGTGAAAAAACAAATGAAAGTTGGTAAAATAATATATGAGTTTAACTATAAAATATAATTATATATTAGTATATAATACCTCAACTTAGGTATAGAATTCTAAAACTTAAAATTCTGTTAATTTCAATTGTAAATAAACCGATAAGTAAATAAAATATACAACATTACCTAAGTAAACAATTAAAAAATGAAAAATCTTTAAAAGCACTTCAAGCCTTCGTAGATTAACTCTGCAACCTTATATGAAAAACTTAAAAAACTCATTACTGACATAATATTTAAATGCCTTACATATTTCCCTCCCAAAAGATGGATTAAGATAATGCTAAAAGCGATTTAGTTTTCGTAAATCTAGAAAAACACACGCATTAGGGACATTCACTAAGCCAGCAAATCATAATTGCTTCGCTTATGAAATGAATATGCATGCCGAAAATTTGAGTTGATTGCATTATTTTCGTAATTGTTTAATGCTCGTTAACCGAAAGTTGGTTAAGGCCTCTCGGTCTTCAGTCTTTGGTTTTTGAGTGTTCCCAAAAAAAAACCCGTGGAACAATATAAACAAAAAGTAAAAGAAGGAGCAAAGAAACGCATTCGGATGGAACAGCTCTTGATTGCCATATAAAAACACTTAGCAGTCGCATTATAAGCCGTAAAAATGGGCAGCAATACCATATGATTTATTGATAGGGAAAAAGGTTATATGGGAAAATTATAGCTTGACTTGTTAGAGATTTGACAGAAAAGTAAAGAGATTTGCAGCAAAACTATCATGGATAATAAAAGAAATATTTTCTTGCCTTGCCAAAACATATAATATTCAGAAAATAAACCCTATATATACATATATTGTATTTACTAAGTAGTACTAAGTACAGCTTAAAAATATTATAACTTAGCCAAAAATGCATTAATTTCAATTCGGAAAGCAATCCTATGTTAGTTTTTATTAGTTTAATAAATCTGCATACTCAATTTAAAATGTAAAGAAATTAAAATTTTTATCAATTTTAATGATATCAAATTT